CACCCATTCACTCGACAACCCTCCGCACCCTAAACCAACACGCGCCGCCCTCCGGCCGTGCCTTCTGCAGATCGTTCCTATCCCTCACGGGCACCGCGCCCGGCGGCAGCGGCCGCCCGGCGGCGTCGACGAGCGCGTACGCGTGCGAGGCGAGGAAGAGCGCGCAGAGGAGCTTCATCTCGAGCTTTGCGGTGCGCATGCCCGTGCAGGGGTGCCGGCCTGGTCGGGTTTTGGTCCGGGTCAGCATCTCGCATATCGAATCCCACGAAATTCAACCCAATCCAATCCAATCCAATCCAAGGGAAACACGGGAGGAAGAAGGGAAAGGGAAGATGAAGGGATGAAGGAGAATAAAAGAAGACGTACCGGTGCCCCACCCGACAAACGCATGCGCCGCGCGCCCCTTGCCCTCCTTGCCCTCCTTCCCCATCCCCTCCTTCGCACCTCCGCCCTTTCCTTCGTCCTCAAACCGCGACGGATCGAACTTTCCCGGCTCCCCTTCGCACCTCCGCCCTTTCCTTCGTCCTCAAACCGCGATGGATCGAACCGCCCCGGCTCGTCCCAAAACGCCTCGTTCAGGTGCGAGTCCGCAATCGGGTACGCGAGGAACGCGCCCCGGGGGAGCATCTCCGGATCCTCGTCCCCACCTGTACCTCCATCCCTTCCTACATTCCCACCCGCACCTCCATCTTCACTCGCATCAGCCCCACCCGCATCCCTGCTTCCATTCGCGTCGACCGCCCCACCACCTCCAATGGGAATGTCCTCCCGCACATTGCGCCTGAGCAGCGTGCCCGCGGCCAGTGTGAGCCGGAGCGTCTCGCGGAGCGCGAGGTCGAGCGATGGGAGCGCGGTCTCCCAGGCAGAGAGCGGGACGCGGGCGAGGCGGCGGTGGAGGGGCTCCGAGTCGGGCGCGGGCGAGGAGGCGGACGTGGAGTGGGAGGCGGGCGTGGGGGAGGAGGCGGACGTGCGGTGTGTAGAGGAAGAGGCGGGCGCGTGCGCAAGCAGGAGCGCGTCGATCTCGGCTTTGATGCGCGCGTGCCATGCGGGGTGTGCGGCGAGGAAGACGAGGAGCCAGCATGCTGGTGCGGGTACGGATACGGATACGGATACGGATACGGATATGGATACGGACGCATGCGTATGGGGATGCGGACGCAAATGCGGATTCTCAGGGACACGCACATGGAATGGAAAGGGAAAGGGAAAGGAAAGAGACGCACCGTTCATGCCGGTGTTGATGACGCCCGCGAAGATGACGCCGAGGACGAACTGGGGACGTTGCGCCCGTGCGCGTCAGTAAATGCAGATGCACGAGGCCCGTGGAAAACAAGACAGGAAGGAAGGAAGGAAGTGAAGGCAGGAAGGCAAGGACTCACGCCGACGATCGCCGCATCCGAGTCCCCATTCCGAATCAGCACCTCAATCGCGTCGGCCCCCTCCCCCTCCCCCTCCACCCCTTCACCTCCCTCTTCACCCTCCCCCTCAGTCCCCCGCTCGACCCTCTCCCGACACCGCTCCACAAACCGCAACACGAGCTCATACAGCTCCCTCGTCGCCCTCGCCTTGGCTCTGCGCGCACGCGAGGGGACCCACGACGGGAGGAGGAGCGCGGCGGGCGTGGCGGAGCGCTCCATGGTCCAGTAGAGCGCCTGCATGCGCTGCAGGGTGTGTGGGGAGGCGGCGAGCGCGCGGCTTGTTGCGAGGCGGACGGTTGTTTGGAATACGATCTGTTTGGGCGGTGGTGAGTAGGGCGGAGGATGGGGAAGGAGGGAGGGAGGGAAGGGACGCACGTCGTAGATCTCGTCGAACGGGTTGATCATGCCTTCTTCCCAATGCTCCATGCGCGCGTGCACGTCGTCGAGCAGCGTCGGCAGCGCTGCATGCACACCGCGTGTTAGAGGTGGGATACGGGACATAGGGAACGCGTACGTACCCGCTTCGAGGCGCTCCCTGCGGAACAGCATCGCGAGGCGCTTGTTGAAGTAGCCCACGTCGTCCGCGCCGTCCGCCTCGACGGCGATGTCGCTCAGATACGGCGCCTAGTCGGCGCGGTGAGCACCCCGCCGGGAGGGAAGGATGGGATGAGGAGGGACGCACGCTGCCGAGGAAGATCTTGTAGCCCTCCGCCGCGTCGAGGCTGCGGTGGTGGAAGAAGACCTGGCGCGCGTCTTCGCCAGAGAGCACGAATATCTTGTGCTATTTCCACCATCACCATCACCATCAGTCGCGCAATGTCAGGAACGAGGGAGAGAGGGAAGAGACGCGGACGCACGCGCAGGACGGAGAACTGGAACAGCCCACTGCGCGTGCGCTTAAGGTTGTCCCAGATGAAATCATACCGGCGCGCGAAGAAGGCCCAGCCGTGCAGCAGCGGGAGCCCGCCGAGCGTGGGGATGCGCGAGGCGGGGTCTGTGTGCGTGCGCGGGGTGTGGATCGCGCGGAAGAGGACGACGACGACGACGGCCGCGAGTAGGGCGAGGGCTGCGAGGGCGGTGAGGCTCAGTGCCATCGCGGTCTGAAGGCGGGAGGGAACTCGAAGGGGCGGTTATATGACATCTTCGCGCGTGCGTGCGTGCGTGCGTGCGGCTGCGAATCGTAAGTGGATCCGTGAAGATCGCGTCGAGAATCCGATCCGTGCGGAGGTCAACGCCCATGCTGCGGCGCCTGGGCGGACGTTGCTCTACGACTCACATTCGCGATGAATGTGCGCGCGATGCCACTGTACCTGGAGTTTGGCGCAGCTAGGCACGCGAGGCCGGTGTGTCGGGTTTGGTTGTTCCAACTCCCGAACTGGCTGGACACAATGTGCGGACAGGCAGCTGTCGTCTTCTCTGTCGCCGAAGCGGCCGAGCCTGGCTCCCACCTAAAGCTAGAATGGTCGGAGCAGTGCTGTCAGACTCGTCGCTCGCAGTAGCGTATTGCACATCTCTGAGTCACTGCGACGCGTTACGTGCGTACGGCGATAGTAGTGCCGCACCTGCAGACCCAGGATGCCTTGATTCCCCCGTCGGTGGAAGCGGTAGGAGGAGTAAGATGGTCACCACGCGCAGGAAGCGATATCACCTGGACGAGCTGCGGATCGCATCGAGAAGTCAGATAAGCTGTGGGAGTCCGAAATCTTGATCTTGCTTGGCGCACTCGTGTATGGACGGATGGGGAAGGCGGTGGAATGCATGCAGCTAGAGTGAGTACTGGCGATTCCCGATCGAGACCAGAGGTCGTCGGCGAGCGATATCTAGCGTTCCATGATTACAGGGAAAGGAGTCGCGTAGAAATCAAAACACGAGCTAGTTATTCACATGTACGTCTATATCATTCAAATCTAACCCGCTCGAACCGCACCAATCTGCGCCAGCTCGCTGCGAGCCTGCCTTCGGCCGTCACGCATACAACGCCCACGCCATCTCTTTCTGCAGCATCTTGAACACCTCCACGCCCAGCGACTCTGCAAACACCCACACCAGCCCGGGTTTTATCGCCTGTGCGCGCACACCCGACGTGATCCCGCCGACCGCTTGTCACCGTGCGCCTTCTTCACGGCCTCCGCGAACGGGACCTGCTACGCCTCGAGCGGGTGGATCTTCTGCAACGGCGAGAACACGGCGAGCAGGTCGACGCCGTGTGCGGCGAGGACGCCTGCGATGCGCACGGCACCGTCGTCGCTGCGCCAGGACGGGATGTCCGACTCAAGGAGCGTCTCCGCGAGCCCGTCCGTCGCAGAGATCTGAGACGCTGCCACGCATGCGCAATATATACCATACCATCCCACCGAGCCAGGAAGGAGGCGAGCAGCATCTATTGCTGTCCATGTGTAACGCGAGTCTCTCTACTAGTATAATTTTCAAGTTCAGTATCGTGAAAGACGTTACGTTACAGGTGCTAGTACCGGTACCATTCACTGGCAAGTCAGGCCCTTCAGGAAAGAACACGACGATCCGCCGCCCGCCTTGAGCACTTGAGCGCTTGGGCCCCGCGTGCGGATGTCAGTGCAGGGCTGCGTCGACGTCTTGCGCGGTCCGGTGCGGCGCGTGGGGGGTGGGTGCATCGGTTGGGGGCGGCTGCGACACGGGACAAGGTAGGCCACGGATACTACGCCGTCGAGACGCGGGGGTGGGGGGGAGGAGCGATTACGAATCTGCGCTCTGCGGTTCTGACTCGGCAGGCGAGGGGGAGAGCTAACTCCGAGGCGCGCGCGCGCGAGTTCCAAGATGCGGTCGGGAACCACTGTTGCTGCGTGTGGAGCGGTAGCTGTGCGAAGCCTGCGCGCGGCGCACGAAGCGGGGCAGGGGCAGGGGCAGGGTGGGTTCGAGAACATCAACTGTGGTGGGTGCTTCCGAGTCCGACTGTGGTGGGTGCTTCCGAGTCCGAGTCTGGTGTCCCTCCAGACGGGGCGCGGGGGTGCATGTGTGCATGTGTAGGTCAGATGCGCGTCCGATTGGATTTGGAAGTACTGTGCTGACGATCAATTGCGAGCCAGAGTACTATTCTTTAGATGGAGAAGCTCGGTCGTAGGTCAAGCTTTCGCGCAAGAGCAGCTGGAGCTGAGGACTGAGAAGGCGTGTCTGTCAGTGGTCAGAGCTGGTGTGCTGGTGAGCAGTGCTGAATTCGAAGTTGCCAGTACTAGTGTCGTCCGGATGGCCTCCGTTTTGCCGAGCTGCAGAGAGCGAAGACAACTGATCGTCCGGTGTTGGGCCTTTGCTCGTCCAGACACACCACGAGGAATAGGTGTGTTCTAGCATGTGGGAGGGATTTTGAGCCTGCGTGGACTCCCCTCACATGCGGCGTACACGGTGGGCGAAACCGAAGTGCCGCGGCGATCGACTGCTCCTCATCTCTGCTGCACAAGTGCAAGTGCGGATCGAGCCGTGCTCGAGGTCTGAATCGTGCATGGCGGCCAGATGCGCCCGTACGATATTGCAGATTGATGCGCACAGCTGGCACCTGTCGGGACTGAGTAAAAAAAAAAAGATCAAAAAAAGAGTTTGTGGCACTCAGTGTTCCCATTAGCCGACTTGAACGACTGACCTCGTCATTAGCGGATGCGATATGCAAGTACTAGTGACGCGCTCTACCAGCTGAGCTAAACGGGATTGGGTATTCAAAGAAGTCAATTGGATTCGTGCGAGGTTTGCAGGATGGTGACCTTCGAGAGCGACATATCTTTGTACTCTTACCAATGCATCGTACATGCTGTCAGCATATTTCATGATCAGAGCAAGCATGTACTTGCCGAAGCTGGATGTGGTTGATGGTCACGGCTGAAGAGAAGAGCGCGCGTCGTGGCGCGTGCTGCGCATTGGTCCACGGCCCGGCGCGTCTCCTTCCTTCCTCCTCAGGATTCCCACCTCCTCCAAGCTACACATCCATAGACCCCCGTGTATACCCCCCTGCACCAGCATATCCCGGAGCTACTAGACCAGAACAGTGCCTCGTTGATCCTGAGGCTATACCCCCAACTCACGGAACGCACCTACACTTCTGACGACGTGAACGTGAACACATACCCTCACGCAATTAATCGGAATCATGGCCTCCGTCGAGCCCTCCGAAGCATCCTTCATCCTCGTCAGCCCCGACTCCCCGCTCTCCGCCTCCGCCTCTGCCTCCGCGGCCGACACCAAGGCCGCGCAGGGCACCACGCCCTCTTTCATACCCTCCAGCAGCGACTCCGTGCGTGCCCCTCCCTCCCTCCCTCCTTCACTCTCCTTTCTCCCGCTCACACTCACACTCGCGCCTCTCCATCCTGATCCACGCGTCCCTTTCCTCCGTCCAGCCGACTCATCCGAAACCGCACCCGTCCGCGCACGCAGGCTACAAGGCCGGCGCGACGCCGTCCTACGCGCACGACTGGTCCCCGGCGGGCGTCGGCGGCGCGCTGCGCGTCCGCGGGCGCCATTTCGTCGATGCGCATGGCCGCGTGTGTGGGCTGCGCGGGGTGAACTTGTCCGGGTCGAGCAAGACGTGCGTGGTTTTTCTCTTTTTCTGTTGTTCTTGTTCTTGTCCTTGTTCTTGTTCTTGTTCTTGTTCTTGTTCTTGTTCTTGTTCTTGTTCTTGTTCTTGTTCATGTTCTTGTACCTTTCATCTCCCCTCACTCACGATCGCGTCCTGTCGTCTACAGCCCAGTCAACCACGACCACGCGACGTTCCCCGCCGGCCACGAGAGCGTCACGTTCGTCGGGCGCCCGTTCCCGCTCGACGAGGCGCACGAGCACCTCGCGCGCCTGCGCCGGTGGGGGCTCACATTCGGTGCGCATCGCCCGTCCGCTCGTCCGCTCGTCCCTTACACCCCGTTTACCTTCTGCCATTCTGCCATCCTGCCATTCTGATACGCGCAATGTGCTGCACCAGTCCGCTTCCTCGTCACCTGGGAAGCCGTCGAGCATGACGGGCCGTACGTCCCCCTCCCAATTAAATGATGCAGACTTTATGCTAACGCTACCGCTACCGCACCCAGCGGCCAATACGACCAGTCCTACCTCGCCTACCTGCGCTCCCTGCTCTCGCTGCTCCCGCTGTACGGCCTCACCGCGTTCGTGTGCCTCCACCAGGACGTGTGGTCGCGCTACGCCGGCGGGTCCGGCGCGCCCGCGTGGACGCTCGAGATGGTCGGTTTTGATCTGCACGCGCTCGAGGAATCTGGCGCCGCGTGGCTCAAGGGCGTAAGGGGCGGTGGGCATGTCGAGGCCGAGCGCGGGCTGTGGCCGTGTGGGTATCAGAAGCTTGCGGCGGCGACGATGGCGTGCGTCCCGTTCTCCCTCCTCTCTCTCTGTCTCTCTTTTTTCTCTCTTTTTTGTTGTTGTTATTGGCGGGGTTGGATGCTGAGCGTATGCGTACAGGACGTGCTTCTGGGCGGGCGACACGTTCGCGCCCAAGGTGCGCGTGCGCGCGGCGGACGGGCGCGAGATGTCCGTGCAGCAGTTCCTGCAGAACGCGTTCCTCGACATGTGGGAGGCCGTCGCGCGCGCCGTCGGCGACCTCGAGGGCGTGCTCGGCTTCGAGGTGCGTGCGTCGCTTGCGTATCGTATTGGCGGCTGTTCGCTGAGACTGCGCGCGCGCAGCTCATGAACGAGCCGCATCGCGGGTATATCGGCTTGCCGTCGCTGCATGGGTTCGATTATAATACCGATTTGCACCTGTCACACGTCCGTGCGTCGTTCTGCTCCTAACTCTATATATGAAGGGATGACTGAGAGTATCACATACGCACAGCATCCGCGCTGCAATCCTTCATGCTCGGCTCCGGCTACCCCACCACCGTCGGGCACTGGACGCGCTCCTTCCCTCTGCCGACCCGTCTCACCTCACACAGCGTGCTCAACTCCGCCAGCCGCAAAGCGTGGCGCGCCGACGGGCCGACGGGGGGACGCGACATCTGGGAGCTGCACGGCGTGTGGGGGTACGACACGGCCAAGAACGAGGGCATCGTGCTCCGCGAGAGCTACTTCACGCGCGACCCCGCGTCCGCGTCCGCGTCCGGGCGGGAGGTGGACTGGTACGCGGACTGCTACTTCCCGCTGCTGCTGCGCTGGACGAACCGCGTGCGCAGCGCGGCGGGCGAGGACAAGGTCGTGTTTGCGGAGCCGATTCCGAACGAGTATTGTCCGGCAAGCTGGACGCGCGAGTGCTGCCCGCGCGATATGGTGTTTGCGCCGCATTGGTATGATCTGAATGCGCTGTTTGCGAAGGCGTTTGGGGATTTCACGGTCAATGTGCAGGGGCTGTCGCGCGTGAGTGGCATGTGGATTCATACGCACGAGATACGTGCGTGCGGGTGGCGGGAGCTGACGCGGCGCAGGGCATGTTCCCGCTCAGGGCGTTCTACTGGGGCCTCAAGGGCGCGCGCGACAACTTTGCGCTGCAGATCCGCAACATCGTGCAGGAGGCGCGCAAGGTGCTCGGCGAGCGCCCGATCGTCATCGGCGAGTGCGGGATCCCGATGGACATGAAGTGCGTGTCTTGTGTCTCAGCAATGTTGACGTCGAATGCTTACCGCGGGCGTGCGTGGTGTGGTGTAGCAAAGGCGAGGCGTTCAGGACGGACGACTGGAAGTGGCAGACGCGCATGATGGACGCGATGATCACCGGCCTCGAGCGCTCGCTCGTCAGCTTCACGTGCGCCTCCCCTCCCCCTCCCTCTCCCCCACTCACTCACCCACACCTACACTCATATGGCAGGCTGTGGAACTACAACCCCGACAACGACGACGCGCGCGGGGACGACTGGAACGGCGAGAACTTCTCCTGGTTCAGCCGCGCGCGCGCGCGGCCCGCGGGCGAGCTGCCCTCGCTCGAGCAGGACTGCGCCGCGCTCGACGAGGGCGCGCGCATCCTGTGCGCCGTCGTGCGGCCGTACGCGGCCAAGACGGCCGGCATCCCGCTCGAGTTCACGTACGAGATGACCACGGGCGCGTTTGCGTACTCCTGGGCCGAGCCCAAGCCGGAGGGGGGTACGGAGGGAGACAAGGACAAGGGGGAGGGAGAGGGAGAGGGAAGGGTGCGCGCGCGCGAGACGGAGATCTTCGTGCCCGCGCAGCTCACGCGCGGGCGGCGGCTCGTCGTGCGCGGGCTGCGCGCGGGCGACACGTACGCGCACGACGAGCGGCGGCAGACGCTGTTCGTGCTGCCCGAGGCGGGCGCGCCGCCGGGCGCGGTGCACCGCGTCGAGGTGCGCGTCGAGCCCGCCGAGGTGCTGTTTGTTGTCAATGATTTCTGGACCGACTTTGGGATGTGGATTTTGGCGGTGATTATGGTGCTCGTGGGCGTGGGGTATTATGCGCTGGGGGATTGAATGGTGGTGGGGTGGATGGGAAGAGAAGGGATGGGTGGAGCGGGCGGGTCTTGAGTTGGGTGGACGTGGGTGCTGCGTAGCCATATCTAGCTGTGGGCGTCGGCGGACAATTATCAGGCCTTCGAGCTGTGGGAGAGCGCGCGGGCTGCTGCTGCTTCCCGAATACACCTGCTGCCAGTTTGCCTACGAGCCACGATGGGCTGATCGCGATAATGCGGCAAGTGCAGTGGACACGCGCCTGGGCATTATATCCCATGCAGGCCGTCCTAGATCGCGCCGGCTGTGCGACGCGATATAAAATGGCCGAGGTAAATACCCCGCACAATTATCAGCTGCTGCAGCCTGCTGGCGGCATCCCGGAACCCGCTCCGACGGCGACTAGCTCTTCATCGCTGTCGATAACGCGTACCACAACGCCAACGCCCGCCTGCTGATTCGACTGGGAGGATACAGCGATGATGATGGCCCTCCGCCCGACGCTGAGGCCGCGCGCCCTGCCCCTGCGTGCGCACAACGTAACATCTCGGCTGCGGCCCCGCGCGCGCCTATCTTCTTCCTCTTCCTCATCCTCTTCGTCCACCCTCACCGCAACACCCACCACCGACGCTCTCTCCGTCGCGCTCCCCAATGGCACACACACGTCCTTTTCCTACCGCTGGCTCCGCGACTCGTGCCAATGCCCCGCCTGTGTGCACCCCTCGACGCGCCAGAAGCTGCACCGCACCTCCGACGTCCCCGCAGGCGTCGCGCCGCTCCCGGGCAGCGTAAAAGCATCCGCCGACGGCATACATCTCGCCTGGGCCACAGAAGGAAAAGACACCACCGAGCACACGTCCTTCTTCCCCGCCTCCTTCCTCGCCGCGCACGCCTCGCCCGCCTCACTCTCCGCATTCCACCGCGACGTGCGCCGCGCGCCCTGGGACGCCGCCTCCGTCGCGCGCTCGCGCGACCTGTACGTGCCCTACGCCGCGCTCGGCACCGACGCGGGCCTGCTCGCGGCGATCTCGCAGCTCGAGCGCGCGGGGCTGCTGTTCGTGACGGGCGTGCCGACGGGCGAGACGGGCGACGCGACGTGCGAGCTGCGGCGCCTGGTGAGCAGGTTCGGCCCGCTGAGGAACACGTTCTATGGCGAGGTGTGGGATGTGAAGAATGTGGTGAATAGCACGAATATCGCGTATACGAATCTGTACCTGGGGTTGCACATGGACATCCTGTGAGTCCCGCGTCTGCCCCTCCCCTCCTGCCGCCACCCAGACGAGACTGACGCGGCACGGGTGCGCACGACAGGTACTTCGAGAACCCG